TTGCTACCGCTAGATTGGTGGAAGGATTGCCCATTTTAGAGTGTTGTTGCGAGAGCGACGATCTTTCAGAATTTGCTTGAGATTAATTGAGGTCTAAAAAAAGCTTCCTTTTTTTCAATAATTTTTCCCCTTGGGTTGAAAATGGGAACTTCGAGCAAAAAATAATTCTATATTGACCCTATCCGTTAGACCTAGTCTATCTAGATGCCGCTAGCATCGATAAGTGACGCTTCAAAGCAAATATTATTATCAAATCTGACCGCTCAATATTGGCATGAGTCGTTAACCCACCAAAGTACCACCCGCGAAAAAGTTGCGTTATACTGATGGTGCAAAATTGCTAGTATAGTGAGTCAAAATATGGAAATAACCAATGCAGTGAAAAACACGATAGAATCTTTCAAGTTTTCATGGACCTAACATTAACGTTGACCTTCCGAAAGCCCCAAAGCAGAGTATGTTGAAGTTTTAGCCTTTATGTTCGTCTTCCACATAATGTAGTTATCCCACCATATAGGACACGAAGTCTTAAACAGCTATGAGAAAGAAAAAGCAAGAGAAATGACAAGGTGCCCATGTAGAACTCTGAGCTTCCAATCATTCTATCTATCTTACATTTTTTGTCATTGTTATATATCATATTCGTATATTTGTCAGTATTCAGGTTCGAAAAACTTACTCTTAATGATTGGATTGCGCACAGTGACTTTATTTACAAGAAGTCTTAATTACACGAATATTCTGGCAGAAAATGTAAAAACCCGCAAAAACTACGAACTGAGAAATGCAAGAGATCTACTGTACATGAAACAATATCTTCAAAGTTAAACTTCTATACCACCCATTCAAAAAAGTTGCACTTATCGGGTTGTCCCATTGGTTTGGAGCAGCACCAGAACTTCTTTCCCTTGTTAGGACCTTCCTTCAGCACAGTTCTTTGTACGGCATTTAGACCGCAAACACACACTCTTGGTACCGTGTTGCTGACATCCGTGGATAAGTTCGTACTCGTAGAGCGATTCCCACGAGAGTCAACTCAAAAAGATCGCGTAAACTCATTTCTTTAACAAAACTTACTTCGCAATAGGACTCTTCGAACATCAAAATGTCTTAATGACTTTATGTTTACTGCACAAACCTCTAGATCCTCGCGGACGACCGCGAGACCCACGTCCACGACCGCGAGACCCACGTCCACGACTAGGACGTGTCGCCGTCGAAGAGGTTCCAGGATCCATGTCCTTAACAAAAGTTAACAACAAATAGTATAAAAAACCTATTAGTATGTTAGGGCAGCTTGCAACCACTTCACCTCTTCGAGCTGAGATTATAAATATTTTGATTTTAACTGGAAAACACATAAGGCCCTAATGAGATTGTAAACGGACAAACTTTTGAAATGAGAATTGGAATTGTCCTAGAATCTGCACTTGATGATGGGAATTAACAGATTCAAAGACAATGCCAATTACACAATTACAAAGGAACTGCAATGATTCATTCCATTAAATTAGTCTCTTAGCTTGTCTGAACCCAATTTTACTACGAAATGAAGCGTTGATACAAAAAAACTCAGCAAACATTCCCGATAGATTGGTAAAAACACTCTATGTAGCGCCGTTTTGCCTGATCAAGGCGGGCTCAGAGGTTATTAACAGACTGTTGTCAAAGCAATGAAGTTGGTACAAAATGTCCCTTTCGAAATGTCTATGTATAGCTCTAACTAGGTTAGATCATTCTAACCTGAGCGCCATCGTTTCTCGTTTGCCCCCTACCCCTCCTGGAAGCAGGAACTGCCACTCGTCGACCTTGCGTTGTTGATGTGCTAGTACTTGCCGTTGCAGAAGTTCCATTCGTATTTGAATTTAAGTACCTAAATCATAGATAATAAGGTTTTGGCGAATTTACAAGATATGGTTAATCTCCCATTATACTTTGTATGATCTCTTATGAGGAGGGCCGGCTTTGCTTGGCATGCTACTTGGGAGATCCCCAACACATTCTACAGTATTTTCTAAGATCTGCTCGTTGTTCTCGATACTGTAATCGCAGTGACTAACCTTTCAA